TGGCCCGGTACCAAATGACTCACGGACCGGTATCGGTCCGAGGCCCGCTGATGTAATTCAGTTGGTGGCCTCCAGCTCTCACTGGACCGGTTCACTGTCGATTGTGGCTGGAATGAGAATATCACCACCACCTCTGAGGCCATGATACTCAGCCAGGAAAGGGTGGAGTACCCAACTGAAGTGAAGAAGAAGTTTAAGAGTCTCGGGGTCTTGTTTATGAGTGAGGAGAAGGGAGCGAGACACTGACAGGATTGGGGCCACGGCTGCAGTGGTTCAGATGCTGTACTGGTCCATCGTGGTGAAGAAAGCTGAGTGTAAGAGTGTGAGTGTATGCAAATCTATGGGGAAATAACCTTTGGACTTCAATGATTTACAGACTTAAAAGCTATAAACAGCGTGTTCTTTCATTAATTATTGGCAAGATACAAGCCTAAGAGCATTTTGTGTCCTAGAGTGTCTCAGTCAGAGCCAAAATGCTCAACTTGAAACTTCACAACAGGACTTGACTAATCAAAGGTTGATGTTACTCATGTCCTTCTTTGAATACCTTCCACATGTGCTTAAATACAGTGGGTGCAAATGTGGGCCAGGCTAGCCACAGGGCTTGTAATACAATCGCACCATTATTTTGATGTTTTTGTAACATTTTCGCTTAATGAAAAAAAAAAGATTATTTTTGTTGTTTCCTTATTTACAAAGCATCACAACAGCTGGTGGTTCCACATGTTTTAATTGGCTGATTTTTACACAGCATTCTCTTTGTGTCTCCGCCTAGAATCAAACATGGGATCGTTCACTTGTAAAGTGAATGTGTAATTTATTATGCTAGCAGCCACTGTTTCTGCTTCATAACTTATTTAAGCCATGAATTAATTATTCAGTTATTTCAGTAAATCAACTATTTTGTTTGTCAGTAGTAGAGTAAGAGCACGGCCATGGAAATACTGTCATGTAGCCTACACAGCTTTAAGTAGGTGCCCAATGAAGACAGAGATTTTTGAAAAAAAACAAACAAACAAAACAATAAACAGATTTAACAGATTTTAGAAGACATTTGTGCATTTGATAGTAAAATCTCACAGATTTAACAATGACAATGTTTTGGGGAAAAAATGAGAAGCCATTTTTACTTTTAAGCATCCTACAAGTTAATGCTATTTTCTAATGTCAATACTTATAAATTACGCACAGTAAGTTTTTGCTATAAAAGTTCTTTATCAAAAGATGTTGGACAGGGATGAAGCTGAATGCAGGCGAGTGAATTCAAATAGAATTTCAGAGTGAAGCTCGACTATTTTTCTGTGTTCTCGGGAACTATTTCTTTTCTTTTTTTTCTATACGGATGTACAAGCGTGCAGAATGGGATTAGCACAGTTTCAGACCAATTATGGTTTGAGGTGAATATGGTGGATATTACATGCATGCAGGAAATGGCTAAATCTTATCAAACTGCTATATTTGACTCTGTGGAGCCAATTCTCTGATGTAGCTGGTTTTAATTACGAGAAATAAGCTTCATGTTTCAGCACAAATCCAGACAGTGAAATGTAATTAGCTGTGTGTGTGTGTGTGTGTGTGTGTGTGTGTGTGTGTGTGTGTGTGTGTGTGTGTGTGTGTGTGTGTGTGTGTGGTTGGTGTGCGTGCATGCATTTTCATACATAGGGCAAACTACATGCTTTTGTGCATAGAAAAGTATGAACGGTATTAAAATTCTTTTGTTTTTACTGCTGATTTTTGTAAATGTATTTTTGCTGTTGTTGACAAATTATATTCCTGTCTTCAAAGTTATAAAACAAAGCTTCATTTCACAGCGGCCTGAGTGTGAAGAATATGCAAATGTTGTGTGCTGTAAATAAGCCAAAGAAGGTTTATTGAGTTGAAAAACAAAAGCTCTTTGTCAGTGGCTTTTCTTCAAAGGGCACTGAGTGAGTTTGATGTGTGTGTGTGTGTGTGTGTGTGTTGTGTGTGTTGTGTGTGTGTGTTGTGTGAGTGTGCTTGAGCATTCATGCTAATATGTGGATAAAAGCAGCAGGGTGAGACGGTTTTGGGGACTGACGTGGAGGCGATGGTGAGGCTGACGAGCTCTTGGCTCTCTACAGTGCCAGGCAGCAACAGCAGTTTGTCTCATGGTGTGTACATCCCCCAACTAAGCTTCGCACAGAGCAGCCAGGCTTGCTGTTACATGCTCACTGGAGGGAGGTGGTGGTAGAGGGGGGCATTGAAGTCTCTGTTGGGAGTATATTCACAACCCTACCAAAGGACTCTCATTCAGCTTTTAAAAACTGTGCCGTATAGCTGAGTAGGTTATTCAAGACCTGATCAAAAAGGGAAAAAAATCCAGTAATAAAATGCACTACTGTGTTTTGTACCTCTTTAGTCAGCTGGAGAAATCTTTAAGGCACCGTCGAGGGCTGCTGCAGTCTACTAAATGTTTCTGTCAGACAGCTTAACGTTTTCACTGTTCTCTTTGGGCTTCTGTCTGCTCCATACAGCGTGCACACATGTAGAGTACTGCTGAACACTGCTGAACTGTTTTTATTCCATCAGTCATGTGTGTGCTGACATATGCATACCTGCATGTCTGCTGTCTGCAGATCCAGGTGTGTCCTCTGAAGACCTGCTGCAGACCTGCTGCACTGCTGGCCAGAGATGGGCCTCTGAAAATGGTCACTGCAAGAACATGCCTCTGCTCGCTAATGACAACGTCTCTGTTTGCAGGTAAGTAACATGAGAGCATGAATTTTAGTTATACAAGTGTTCTTTGTGGTAGCTGCTGCACACTAACTGTACACATGAACTACTTACTCATCGTGCTGCACATCATGCAAAGTATGAGTTACAGTCAGGATAACTGAACTCTCACTGCTGCCATTTCCTACACTGCCCCATAGAAAATACATTTTAGTGCAAAAATGACCTTTATTACCTTTATAATTTAGACGTTTTGATTATACTGCAGTTGAATCTTGATAACATTGTAACCACTGCACGCTGTCTTATATAAACTATATTAGAATACCATCATAGCTGATTTAACTGATTTATCATAGACAAATAACGAAATGATAAAAATAGTGAGCTACTGTGACCGCTGTCATCAGTTTGAAGTGTTGAGATGAGCTTTTCCACATTCTCTATCTATAAACACATCTGACAAGAAAGAGACATATCTACCTATGAAACCACACGTTCATTTGTCAATCAAATGGACTTTCTTGAGCCCAAAAAAGTGACTGAACCCGTTAACTTGTCAGGAACGAGTTTCCCATTAAACAACCACAGATACGTGGAAGCTACATCTTTCACTTATACTGTCAGGAAGGGCTGGGGATAGGATTAACCTGTTAACATCAGAGCCACAGGATTGACCATCACTAAATTCATCGTGGATGATGTTTCTTTCACAGCAAAGAACAGAAATAATAATGTATAAGGAGTTGCTGCTTGGGTTATGTGGAGCACACTGTTTTTCTTCTGTGTAACATCAGACGGTCATAAAAGATGTCTGAAAAGTAAAGCCGCTTTTTGCAACTCCTTTTTTACAAAAAGCCATCTGGTTGTATAGAAGTCTATGAGGACAGCACCTGTGACCTCAGAAACACTTTTACTAACTTGTTTATGTCTCCATTATTTATATAGTTGACATTAATATGCATAACGTAGAATTTACTTTTAACATATGGAGTAATATGAAGCACAAGAAAGTGCTAAAATACTCGCTGTGTGTGTGTGTGTGTGTGTGTGTGTTCCAGTGTTGCACAGAAGCAGTGCTGTCTCAGCTCTGTGAAGGAAAGACAGTGTGAACTAGGCGTGACCTCAGCCAGAGGTGGAGACACCTGTGACGTGGATGAGCGGGACTCGTGTCTAGATGACTCCTATCAGGTACACACAGTGGAAGATTCACAGGGAAGAGGGAGGCAGTTGAGTCATGACAGATGGTGAACAGATCCACCAAGTTCTCCATGAAGCAAGCACTTGGCTGACCAGAGGCTCACTCTTGTTTTGCTTTGTTAACAGAAACGGGGAGAAAATTCTGTTTTTTTTTTCCTGTCACAATAACATAGTGAAAGTTGCATTTGCCAGTTGAATCCTGAACTTAAATCACATCAGAATTTTTACTTATTTGAAGAAAACAGCTGCGAAAGCTTTTAAATTAAAATCTTTAATGTCGAAGTCTTAATTTGAAATGCAACATTTTCTAGTTTCTAAGTAGTTGAGTTTTACTTTGTGGCTAATCCACCTGAGTTAAATGTTCCGGTATCAGGTCTTCTGCTTGCTGGGTGTTAGAGGATGGTTGCAAAAACCAGGTTAACATGTGGTTTTCTTTACAAAACATGACGCAGCTGAAGTCCTTTCCAGTGCGATAAAGCAGCTTGCTCATCTGTTTCTCTTTCATGCTGATGTTTACTAACCAGCAAAAAGCAGAGGGCCATAAAGTGAGGTGATGATTAGAGATGTGAAAGACACCCCGGTGATACTCTCCTAACAGGCTATGCTATTGTTGTGCGGACTGGCAGGTGTGCTGCAGCTGCTGTGTGCTTGGCTTACGTGTTCGCAGTGAAGGGCGAGGTTGTGATGCCCACCAGCACCTAGGCTATCCATGCGGCCACATCTTCCTCACTTGCTGCGAGGAAGGGGATGCTCTGAGCCTGTTGAGGAGAAAGCAGAAGCCAAGACCAACTGCCCTTCCCAGGAAAGGTATCTGTAACCCACTGCACAGTCAATTTCCACCTGGCAAAACACGTATGTGATGCACTTTGCACGTGCTAGGACTTATATTATGTATAATAAAAAACAAGCAAAGGAAGTGGCCGGTGAAAAAATGTAGTAATTATGACTGAAAGTTTCAGAACCTTTGTGAACTGTTCTTTCCTGTCTCAACAAAAATATTCATGTAGTGAGGTTAGTGAGGTTAGCTATGTGCCCTTTGATCCATTCCAGTGCATGGCCTACCACATGCTCATTAAATTCAGCAGGTGCTAA